GGTTTCACCTCTAGGAAAGCAAAAACAAATCTTTCCCTTGGGAACAGTACATTTTTCCGGGATAAAATGCCTATGTTCTATTCCAGACTATAATCTATCTCTTTGCCAAATTTCATCCAGATCAGCCCTACAAACTCGGATTACAACGAACAAACAGAAAGACAGACAGAGACAAAAAATTTAAAAAGGGTTGTTTGGTTACTGGTATCATATAAATAACTATATACTTGAGAAAATTTTAAAATCACAGACGACACTTCAATTTTTTATATGGAAAAAAATATTGTCACAGCTTCACGCTATATGAAATAGCTTATTATTTGGATAATTAATATGTATTTTGTAGGTTTTGTATATATGACTTTCTATAGATACCTGTATCTTTGTATTATCTATACACGTTTTATGCGAACGTAGACACAGGCAAGAGCTAGTTAACAAAAAAATCTATAAGATATTGCTTTTCAACCGTAAAAATGTACATCTACTTCAAAATATCTAAAAAATAATTATTCACATAAATAAAAAATAAAGTATATTTTTTATTTATCTGAGACTACCTTTATCATCTATTAGTTAAAAAATTATGAAATAATTCCGAAGGTATCGCGTAACATACCTACAAAAACACAGACGAATTGAGTACTTCTTCCTTTTGAAGTCGGACAAAGACCCCAAGTCGTCCACATTGTTTCAATCATCGCCGAGTGAGTTAATGCGTTGGCATAACATTACGCGATGAAGCGAGCCATTTCAGCTTCACTGATGACAAGATAGTGAGAATACAGTATCGATTTGTTGTCGATGAAATTTTACTTATCGATATTTAATATTTATAAAAAATTGATCACAGTTATTTTATTTAAAAAGTATAATGATAAAACAATCGACTTAAGTCGCACTTTAACTTCTAACGTCTTTCGAAAAATAAGATTCTCTCTGACTTGGACATGCTCTCTTTATTTGAATGTGAATAAATAAATAAATTATTTTCCTCCCTAAACAAACAAATCAGAAAACACGAGATATATTTAATGATTTTTTTAATTTTTTTTATTATTTTTTTATTGTCAAACGTATACTATATTTAAAATATTATCGATATAATATGTGCTCCGAAGTCCTAAGCCATCTCTGGTTAGTCAGACAAAGCTATTGCTCTATCTCACGCAAAAGTGGATTACTGACAAACGACGGTCGGTGAACGAATTCATTACCGTTTGTCTTCAGCTTCAAGTTAGTGTATGTGTGTGTATGTATATATATGACTTCAATGATTTATATTGTAAATTAGTATATGATGACTTAACTGATTATTTTATATATGAACTAGCGACTCACCCTCGCTCCGCTCAGGTTCGTCCGTAGTTACGTTTTAAGTTTAGCTCAGAGATGAGATATTTTCCGGCAGTAAAAAGTATCCTACATGTTGATCCGGATAACCAGCTATTGTCATACCAAATTTCATCATAATCTCTCCAGTGTTTCTTCATTATGCGGTCACAGACAGATAGACAAAAATTGTAAAAACTTTAGATTCGGCCTCTGTATCGATAATAATGTCTATTTCAATAAGATTTTCCAAAAAATATTTAAAGTACAGAATTTTATTATATGTATATCTATATTTGACGATTTAACGGGACTTTGCTTTTTTTAATTTGTTTTAGTTTTTTTTTTCTCAATAAAACTTCATGCATATCATCATCTTTTGTAAGCCATAGCTCTCGACCAAAAATATTTTAATGTTAGATGTTATTCGTTTTGAAGTCTAGATTTCGTTATCTGCTTTAAGCTTTAGTATTACCTACCTTTAGATTTGTCATCAAATCAGAGGTCTTATCCAAATATATAATCTACAATTGCTATTGTTAACAAAACACCTAATAGTTAAGTCACGTGGTCATTCTCATTTGTTTCCTTGTCGTTGTATTAATATTTTATACTAGTGACTCACTCTCACTCCGCTCGGGTTAGTCTAGGTAGGTCTTGTTATGTTTTAACGTTTAGATTTCTCAGAGATGAGATATTTTCGCGCAGTAAATAAAAAGTATCCTATATGTTGACCCGGATAACCACCTATCATCATACCAAATTTCATTAAAATCTGTCCTGTGGTTTTCTCGTGATGCGTCTCCCAGGCCGACAGACTAAAAACTAAAAACTATAGATCCGGCCTTTGTTATCTGTATGACTATTTCAATAAGATTTAAAAAAAAAATTAAGTACAGATTCTACTCAGAATTTTATTATATGTATAGATAACATTGTAAAACAACAAACGTGTTTGCTCGGCCAGGGTTCAGGTAGACGATTTACTCCACATGCTTATTTATGTGGGCTTAATTTTTTTCCACTCACAGTTAAATATATTAATTATTATGTAATTTCAAATTTGACTACAGATTTCTTTAGCTGTTCACCTGAGATACCTACCTACTCAATTTCATATATGTAGTATATTCTATATATTATAGTTGAAATAGTCTTCGAGTTCCAACCATTTTAACCCGATCTGAGATATACAATATATGTATAATTAGTAATGCGGTAAGTAAAAGGTACTTTACATAGGAGTGGCAGATGTTTTGTTAAAAATATAACAAAACCGGTTGCCATTAAAAGATTTAGCATTCCTGACTAGAATACTTAGTGTAGAACAAGTTCTAGTGTCGTGCTGTATTTATTTAATTTCTATGTACTCGTAACACTTCGACTGTCTTTGATTTTAAAAATAGTACTTATCCAGGCTTTACTTCACTTTGAGCCTTCCAATCTATGTATTGCAGTCTTTTTTGTAATGAACCAATACTGGTGCTGCCAGCTCTTAACTCGAACATGAAAAAATATTGTTATTTATTATCTGTATATTTTTAATCTTTCTTCTAAAATATTTTTCATTATAAATTCTTTGTTCAACTATCTGGTATCCATAACACAGGCCTCGTAGCTTAGCATGGAACTAGATGGTGCTGTGTGTTAATGTCCCAACATATTTATACATATTTATATTAGAGACTCAACCTCGCTTAGCTCATCCCTAGCTTGATTCCCAATAGAAACTTACATCCCAATTTTCACCCCCTTAAGGAATGATTTCCGGGATAAAAAGATCAAGAATACCCTTTGTCTTTCCTAGGGTCTAAACTATCTACTTACCAAAATTCATCTAAATCGGTTCGGTAGATCCAGAGATTATCCCCTCCAACCTCACAAACTTTACATCTTTATAATATTAGTATAGATTTATTCCTGAATCAGACCATATAATAAAAGTATTTTTTAAACCAACGTAAAATTGATAAAATCCTCTTTTATAACAGTTGGTTGAATGTAATAGTGACAAGCACGAGTTGACACACCCTAATAAAAACTGTTGTAGGTTTTTACCATTAACGATACTTGCACGCGAAGTTGTTTTCTCAAATACTAAAACATTAAAATTCGAAACTGATAATATTTTGTTATATTTAAATATATATATATATATATATATATATATATATATATATATATATATATATATATATTTACGATATCCCTTAGACGTAAAATATATGTAAGTTTAAAATTTATCGTACGTCTTTCCTTAAACTACACAACATGTTAGTTTTTTGATATTACAATTTGTAAACCTATGGACTAAGCCTCTAAAAGATCAATTAAGCTTAAAAATTAGACCGTGATTAAAATATGTATTAAGTACTAAGACAAACCTGTGACATAATCAGAAAAAAAATACAAAATACTTTGCCATCTTAAAAGGGCTGAAGTAGTTTTTTCCTACAAATATAACTACAATGACCTAATGGCGACATTCGTTATTATAAATTATGGCTCATAAAATATTATGACATCTTGTGAAACGTAGAGATGACAAGATACCTTTTAAGCAAGAACCCAACAAGTTTTCTCACGATCCCAATTTGTAACTTTCGAGGTAAAATATATAATACTAGTACCAGCGACATGTCTTGGCCTGATCTCGCTGCTTTTGAAAGGTTCTTGAACAGGAAAATGAAACCTTTATAGGTTCACTTCCTTGCCCGTGTCGCCGTTATTCTCCCTTCTAGTAGGTACCTTTTTCTCAGGAAAATATGAAAATGAAATTAATATCAAATATTTCCAATATTTGAACCTTAAGGAAATAAACAATAAAAAAACATGTATGTGTACTTATGTACGCACGTAAGAAGTTATACTTCTTTGGCATAACAGAACAAAAATAGCTAAAGATTACATCCCGTATGTCACAAGTCTCTGTTTGTAAAAGGAATGCAGCTAACTTCATCATGTCGCTTTTCGACTGTCAGTGTGTTATATTTTTTTCCAAACGTGCCAAAAGAAGTATAGCTTGAAAAATCAAGCTAATAAACTTCAAATCTGACTAGCTGTGAAGTATAGACAGTAAAACCACAGTCTACTAATCCATACCTTCTATCCTCCTAAATCCTATCCATCCACGCCTTTAGACTAATTTACTTTAGATTGTCCTAATCATTCGGGGCGTACTAAGTGAGATATGCATATTACGATATCGACTGTCATACTTACTCTTATATGACACTTGCGACTCACCCTCGCGTCACTTCGGGATCGTCCCTAGACAAAAATAAATTTATCCTACGGGAAAACTAATAAATAAACTATCTAAAGCTGCAAAATCATAACAGCTAGTCAATAGAAAAACAATTTCAAATACCCGATTGAGCCCTGAGAAACGTCGGGAACCAAAAATCAAAATAAATTCGCGAAAAAATCCGAAAAGATAGTTTTATTTAAAAAAACCCTGAGCTTTTTGTTTTCTTATGTAAGTATTTTTTTATTTAACCATTTTTGTTTGTTTTTTGTTAACACTTGTTGCACTAACATGTTTTTCGACTAAACAATTACCATTAGGAAATTAAATAAATTAAAATTATCAAGTTAAAAAATATTAGAACCATCTTGAAGTAGACTTATTTTGTATAAAAACTAAGTTTTTGTTGTTTCTTTTACAGCGATTTGCCCGATGAAGAGGATAAAAAGTCACCTGTACTCCTTTTGGGAGTAAATAAAATTTCCGATTCCCCGTTCTGCGTAAGACGACGAATTACAGACTCCCATTCATCTGGATCGATAAGATTTTTCCGTCCCCCTAAATCTAAATATACTAGAGGCTTAAATGGAGATGAGAGACTTGAAAAGATCAGACAAGATCTCCTTGTTCACAAACACAAACCAGATACCTACATTCCAAGACCCAGCCATGAGGTTTCCTTAGAGCCAGAAAACCAACCGTGCATAAAACTAAGCTGTGTGGGTAATTGCATCTGCGACAGAAAGAAATCCTCATCAAACAGAGGCTCATTCTCATTCCACAGACCAGAAAATAGACATTCGTCTTTATGCCCATCCGAGCCGTATGGCTCTAATAAAAAAGAGGACAGTGACATAGAGTTCAAGTACACAGAACACATTCCAGATGTCCAACCATCTAGCAGCAAGCAACATTCTTACAACGTCACTCCAAAATCAGTAGAAAGAAGACATTTTTTACTCGATCTCAATGAGAGATTCCGAAAAACACTAAGCTTGGACTCTCGTAAAGTGGAAACAAACCGCACTTTGAGCATCCCCAAAGAGACTAGACCTAAATCTCTTGTTAATACCAGCAACATTTGCGTGCAATATAAATCTGGTGACCCTTTCCTACCGACAAATTTTGACAAAGCCAGCCAACCGAAAAAAAAACGAAAATCATTCTTCTCATTAGATACATTTTTCGATTCCAAAAAGTCAGATACATCATCCATAGACGATTACGTTTCATCAAAATACAAACGTTTCGAGTTGGAAAGCGATGACTCACCGCTCTTCCGACGATCTAACGGTGAAAAGACACCCGATCTGCTAAATCTGCCCGTCATCATCGACTCTGTGCGGAAAAAGCAATCCGACACGAAAAGGCAGTTAGAGAAATTGGAAAATCATTTCTATAAGAGTTTAAATAAGCGTACAGTTATTGACGCCATACCAGCCGACGCGACAGACGCACAAGGCTCAAGCGGACATTCCAATCAATTATTCATATATGACGATGACGTTGAATACATAGAGCCTATTCGAAGTAATTTTACAAGTCAAAGTACGTTGATATTGGACAAACATAACCCTGGAGATGGCACATTGAAGCCTGACTCTATTCTAACTATAAATACCGATGATACTGACATAAAACTTCCGAATTCGGCTTCCCCGAACGATGTAACATCGAATGATTTGGATAGCATAGGAGCATACGAAATAGAGGTGAAAGAGTCCGACTTAAAGAGTTGTTCGAAGAAATTAGTTGTCAAAGTGATGGATAAGTCGGTAGATTCTATAGGAAGTTGTTCGCTGGACGTCGACGCGAGTACAGATTTTTCAGGTAAATTTGTGTGTCGTGTGAGCATGATCTAGTCTCGTATGTTGCAGATTATGTAAAAAAACTATTTTCAGTTTGTCTAAAGGCTTTACTTTTTTTGAGAAAATATTTATATTTAAAAAAGAATATACGGTAGATAAAGTCTGCAATATACATTAACTGTCTAGTGATGATAATGCCTTGCTTGGCGTTGTAATTGAAATTTCATTTTTCATATTATTTTTATAATAAAATACATATATCTTAATTTTTATTTCGTTTTACTTTCACCTTTCATTTTAATGCTTCTTTGTGATGTTCAGTTTCAGCAATTTTTTTTTATTTTATAGCTTGGATTATTATACAGACAACTGAGTGTTAACTTTCTAATGATCATACAGATAATTAACGTTTTATTTTCCATTATTATTAACTACATCTTATTTATTTCCTTATATTTGTGTAGTTAGTGTTAATGTTATACCATAAATAATTTTAAGCTATTTCTATTATAATAATTATTACTATCACAATAGTCTAGAATGTCTAGTAGGTCTAGAATGTTTTATAACATAGTCTGTGTATTATCATAGTACATAGAAGCTCCCGCTCTATTAAAAAAAGATATATTTTTTAAGTACAAGAACTCTTTTCCTGTGACAAATCAATATCAATCGGAAGTAAAAGATTTGTAGACAAAGCCATTATACGTTTGGCGGCCTTTTTCAAACACATTACCTGACATCCAGGTGTAAACAGGTAAATTAAAGCAGTTAATTGCTCGTATCGTTTTCCGGAACGAATTTACTAACAAATTTAATGATATAGGTGGTCATGCCAAAACATCTCCAGACTAGGAGGTTTTAATTAAAAACATGCCTGAAGCTAATTTTTGGTGACAACTCCTTGGGTCGTGTTTAGTAGGTATTTTAAATCTTTAAACTGATGGCTTCATAAATAATAAATATTATATGACCATAAATAAAAATAATAAACAATTAATAATGATATTTAAAAATCTCTATCAAATAAGTTGCCTAAAATAATTTATTATTAATTTTAAAACTGATAATAAACAAAAATATAATTAACATTAATTAAAAATAAAAGTAAACATTCAATTAAAGAAAATAAATAACTTCACCATGTACCCATTGCTGAGTTAATAAAATACAAAAGACTCGGCACTCTATTGTTCACTTTATACCTGTTTTGGCGCTTTTGAATTAAAAAACTAAAGTATTTTACCTTTGTAGTGAAAAAAAAGTTTCCATATATTTTATGTATTACCACAGATTACTTAATACTATACTAGTACAGGTTCCTCATCCCATCCCGTTTGCTTGAATAAATAATAGATGTCGTTGATTCGCAAACAGTTAAACTTTTATTTTATAAATATACGTAAACCTACGAATGGTAAATAATATAAAATCAATCCTACTTTCGAATAAAAAAAGACAGGGATTTTTGGAAATTTTTAACCGTGATAATTCATAAAAAGTAAAAGCGCCATCTGTGAATATACAGTACAAACCCATCATCAGAATGCTGATATTTCAATAATCAGTATAATTACGCAATTAATTTGATTTACAGGCGCATTATTACGTTTCATTTCACTTAGAATATCTTTTAATACAATAAGACACCTTTTTGGAATTTATTTTTTTATATTTTGTTAATTTAACACAACTTTAATAACAAAGCGATACATGTAACGTCATCTATTGACATTTATTTGAATGAATTTTTCTTTGTTCGTGAATTTCTAACTTTTATTTTGTCTAGTTAATGTCTGTTTTATTTTGTTACATATTTCTTAATACTAATTTGAATAAGAAATTATTTTCCACCTGCCAGTAAGTACTGATATGGTCCATTAACTGCATTGGTTATAAATTAGCTGGTATTTTGCATAATATATGCATAACTAACGAATAGTATGCATATCGTCTTAACATCGACGTGTTTGTAATTGTTTTAGTCAAAGTGTTACGTTGTTTAGAAATAATATATTATATAGATAATTATCTTACTATACGTAACTCCTATCAAAGGCATGTCGGCATCTTTATAAAAGTTTCCGTTTTTGTAGGGAATGAGAAGAGTAAAATGAATTATATGATTAAGTATCTTAATATGTAACATTATTATCTAATGCCGCAGTAAAACTAAAGTGCAATGAACTTATAATAGCATTCGTCTAAATTGAAACTATAAGCAAATGAATTTAAATGACTGAAAATCGGTTAGGTGGGTTCCTTTCTCTCTCTACTCGGATATGAAAATATAATATTAAATTTTATGTTTAATGAGTAGAGTATATATATATGTATATATATATATATATATATATATATATATATATATATATATATATATATATATATATATAAAGTAATGAATACTTTAATTTTTATTTATCTTCCAAAAAATTCTCATAATTAATATAATGTACTTTATTGTAATGGACGTAATTAAAACCGTTAACTTTTAAATGTATATATTTTAATTATGATTAATAGTGCATTTCATTAAAACATTCCCAGGTTTTAATAATATAATTACGTTCCTTTCCACGCTATCTGTTTTACATAATTTCGCACTATTTACATTCTATCGTGTAGCGAAATTTAACTAACTTTAATTTTTATCTGATTATTTAATTAATATAGCAAATATCATTTACTGATCACAAAAAAATATAACAAAAAAAAAACAATTTTACCATTTTTTTTATTGAAAACCTACCTTTTTACTTAAATTTAGAAGAATTTTTTATATGTTGATAGAAGGCAAAAGGAGTCAAAGACACTCGTAATTAATAATATCCCAATATATTTTTAAACCAAAGCCAACGCCAAGAGTATATGTCACACTAAACAGGCACAGGATGACGCAAGTGGTATCTAGAACACGATCGCCTAAATTATTTTGTAAAACGAACGTGTCGAAACACATTTACCGGCAGGTTGTTTATCTATTTATAGAAAAGTAAATTAATAAATAAATATTATTAACACTAGATAGTTTCCTAAAGTTATCATGTAAAGTTTGAAAAGGTCAAGCGTGCCCACGAAATTACCCAATTTACCTATTATAAACACTATTGCATGTGTTTACATTATAAATGCAAAGATGTTGCAAAACTTTCGCTGATTTAGGATATTCAAGGTTATTTTCTTCTCAATTTCTTAATTTATTTAAGTTTTGTCATTCGGAAACGCAATTAAAATAAGTGTAAAATATGATTTCAATATTTGGGTCATATATAGAAATCGCATACAATGCAAATTGAAAATTGCACATTGCAAACAAAAGATCGCATACACGTTGTCACATTAACACATCGGCCTCGATTCTACCTACGCACTTCTCACTCGTTCGGTCATTGGCGTCCAAACACTTTGCGGATACGCGCGTACACATAATAGCAGCTATTTTATATAAATACACATAAATATAATAAAATCTACGTGTAAAGTTCTGTGAATGAATTTATAATAAAGAAGATTCGCGCTCGCTGACCGTGAAACGGAACGAGACCGGCCGTAACTTGTCCTGCCGGAGGGTGACGTCTCGAAAAAAAATATAAAAGTGACATTTGTGACGAATTCTGTCGAAATATCGTTCTGTAAATTTAATGTAGGTAGGTAGTGAATTGAGTTAGATAAAATATTATAATTCATTTAAATTAGTCGTTCCTAACCGTTGTGTAATTTGTTTCTTTAGTGTTATAATTATCGGTAAGTAGTTATTGTTACTTAGTTACGTTTTAAAATAAATCATGACTATCTCGGTTTTCCTTAAAAAATCTAAACATGTTGATGCTGGATGTTCGTCATCAAGTTTCTTTATTTATTATTACGATTAAGATGAATAAGACGATTATTCTAATAAAACGCGCACGTAGTCTTCGTCATTGTTCATGGAATGGAACAAGGGTCGTGGTTTTCTTACGATATTGCTTTATATTGCAATATAGTTCACATATGTAAAATAATAAAACACGTATTAAAATACCAAAATGTGATGTAATGCGACATTATACATATTTTATATTATAGTATAGCTGTTATTACTTTGTTTAACTTAAAAAGGCAAATTCTTAATCATGTAAAATATTTAAAAGATCTCAATTTCAAATAAGTTACTATATATGTGGGTATTCATAATTATCAGTTCAAAAGTAAGGTAATGGCCGAAATGTGAAAATTTATGGGTATAACCTGATGCAGTAAATTACTTTACTATTTTCTTAACATAGTCCATTAATGGGCAATGCAAAATTGCAATGCATATGATACATTTTCAAAGTTGGCAATGCACCAACAAGGTCAAGGCAAGATGTATTACTAATATCCTTTATGCACAAGACAAGTTTTTGCATGGTCAGTTAATATAATTTGTTTATGAAGATTTATTTATCATTAAAAATCTGTCATAATTTTGTTTTTCATGAGATTTTCTTTGGAAAGTAATATATCAAGATACTTTGTTAGATTTTCGCGAATACTTGACATTTTAAATAAAACTATCTTTTCGGATTTTTTCTCGTATTTATTTTGATTTTTGGTTCCTGATGTTTCGAATGCTTTACAGCAATCATGGTCACGGGAGAGACTGAGGTGTTAGATGTCTCTAAGGTATTATACAGTTGTTACAGACAGCCTACCCACAATTAACAAAATGAATTCAAAAATTGAAAAATGGCTATAAAGTACCTTACAATATTTTAACTTTTAATATTAAACATTTTTATATAATTATTTTTTTTTAAATTATTTATAATATATCAAGTTTATGGAAATGCATTTGAAACTTCGGCGGCCGTTTAGAATTGGGGACTTGGCCCCTAGCGGAGTGGGTGGTATTTCTGGATAAGGGACGTGATAGGGAGTCGAAATGTTAAATAAATTTTTTAATACAACAAAAGAGTCAAAAGTTATTGAGACTTAAAGTTATAACATTTCCATACATTATTTTGACATTACTACCATTTAGACACTTGGAGTCAAAACGTCACTTTCAATTGTCAAAATGATCTCCAGATGATTGTCTTTATTTGTACTTTGCGTGAAATTCGAATTTTCTAGTTTTCTAGTCATTTATGGCACTCGCCGGCCGCTACCGCGGCACGCTCGCTTCGCTCGCTCGGCTCGTGCGTTGTGGCAACTGTTCTAACCTAACCTAACCAAGATATGACGAATAATTAATAAATAATCTTAAATGTTCTAACCTAACCTAACCCAGATATGAGGAATAATAAATAAATAATCTAAATGTTCTAACCTAACCTAACCCAGATATGAGGAATAATAAATAAATAATCTTAAATGTTCTAACCTAACCTAACCAAGATATGACGAATAATTAATAAATAATCTTAAATGTTTCTAACCTAACCTAACCCAGATATGAGGAATAATAAATAAATAATCTTAAATGTTCTAACCTAACCTAAACCCAGATATGACGAATAATAATAAATAATTAAAAATATTCACAGATAAAAAAAAATGATTTTTTTTACTAAATGTACAATTGTAAAACAATATATTTTACATAAATCAAATAAAAAGTTATAATGTATGTATAAAGTGAAAATAATATTTTTCTTTTATATTTATTTATTAATTAATATTAATATTTTACCAACAGAAAAAGCAAAAATAATCAAATATAATCTGTTGTCATTTAAGCGGTAATATAAAAACAAAGTGTCAGTTTTGCTTTTGTCAAAATGTAAGATCATTTTGTTGTGTTGTGAAATTATTAAAATATTAAATACAATAAAGCATTAATTGTTGTGAAAATGTGTAATGTACATAAAAAAGGATGCGTACTATTCGTTAAAGGTATGTTTTATCTGTTGTAATCACTTATTTAGGTAAAGAAATGTATGGAAATGTGTTAGATATGTTATAACTTTAAGTCTCAATAACTTTTTAGTCGTACGTTTCCTCCAAATATTTTTAATATATTTTGACTCTCTGTCACCTCCCCTATCTAAAAATACCACCCACTCCGAATGGTGGTAAAGAAATATATGAAAATGTATGGAAATGTTGTAACTTTAAGTCTCAATAACTTTTGAATCTTTTGTTGTATTAAAAAAATTATTTAACATTTCGACTCCCTATCACGTCCCTTATCCAGAAATACCACCCACTCCGCTAGGGGCCAAGTCCCCAATTCTGAATTTGTGCCGAAACTTCCATACTTTTACTTACAAATATTATAAATGTGAAAGTTTGTGAGGATTGATGATGGATGGATATTTGTTACTCTTTCATGCTAGAATGGCTCAACAGATCTGGATTAAATTTGGCATAGGAGGTAGATTATAATTTGGAATAGCGTACAGGTTAGTTCTTATCCTGGAATAATATTCCAGGGGATGGGTTTATTTTTGTCTAGGGACAAACTCAAAGCAAAAGAGGGTGAGTCGCTACTGCTCTAAATTTTTATGTATTAATGTGGAATGACTTGCAATTGTGTAATACTGTATTTATATCATAATCTTCTATAACAAAGATGAACATATATCTTTGTTATAGAAGTTATTGTCACAAAAATATTTTCAGCACATTTTAAAACCATTAACATGACAATAATTGAATTAAAAATTATTATATAAAATATTTTAATTTAATCTAATGTTATTATTATTAATATATAATTAAGGTTATAATAATTTAAAAGAAAATGTTGCACGAATAAAATATTTTGAAAATATTTTTTTTACAGTGTTATAATATTCATATAATATATTGTATACTTTTAAATATTTAATAGAAAATATGTATTAAACTTCAATGTATAATAGAATGTCAAGTTACTTTCTATTATCTGTTGACCATCATTTCAATATAAAGCTATATTATAAACTAGCGACTTACCTTTGACAGACAGACAAAAATTTTAAAGTTTAGGTTATAAATAAATAAGTTATTTGTTACGTTTAAACATTCAGTTATCAAAACACTTATAATCTTCATTGAATTTTAAAATCAACCCAAATAAATGCAGACATTAAGAAATTATTAACACAGCTGTTAAACAACTGTTATTTTATAAAAAGAATATGTCCAATTTTAGTATAGTCTGTCTGTAGATTTGTTTAAATGAGTCTCTAATTAGTATGTTACTAATAAATTATATATTAATTAAGAAAACAACTTTTGATCCGGATGCAATTTGCAACACAAATGTATAGAATGAATGGTATGATAAGGTCTGTAGTTTTAAACATACATGAATAGTATGTTTAGTACAATTGCAAATTTTTTTTTACATATTATCAAAAAAACATCTACTATGTAACTACATATAAATATTGTAAGGTTAAAATTTTTTGATTGTATTTGCTAATTCCTCATTGTAACTGCTTGAAAAAATTTAAAGAAATTCAGAATGGAGTAAGCTCATATCTGTTGCTTAATTAACAAACACATAGGCTACTTTTTAAGTGAACAGTGTAGCAGACACAAGTGAAATAGTAAATAACTATATAAACTGTCATATATATAAACTAGCAACTTACCCTCGCTTCGCCTGGATGTGTCCCTATGTATTTTTTTTAAACAGAGCCCTAATTCTTTTTCTAAAATAAATGTAGCCTAAGTTACTCCTTATAACATCAGCTATCTGCCAGTGTAAGGCCCTTCGAAATCAGTCCACCCGTTTCAGAGATTAGTCAGAACAAACAGACCAATTATTTTTATTTATTATTATTTTATAAAAAGAATTAGGGTTCTGCTGAATAAAATTAAAACGTATCTAGGGATGCACCCGAAGCGAAGGAAAGTTTTTTAGGCTTTTATTTAAATAAGAATCTTTTATTTATTCACTCCTCCCACTCTCTCCCTCTCTATCCCCTTCTCTCCCCCCCCTCCTCCCCTCCCATCTCTCGCACCCTCCCCTCCCTCTCTCCTCTCTCTCTCCCTCTCTTTCTCCATCTCCCCAATCCCCTCCTTCTCCGCCCAACCCCTCTTTCTCTTTCTCGCTCGCTCGCTCGTTCGTTCGTTCTTTCTTTCTTTCTCTCTGCTATGTCAGAGATTTTCACTACTTCACAGGAATCGTACCTTATTTCACTGATACATGCAATATATCGTAGATTTATTTTTGTCACATAACTTTTTAATTTGCATTCTGTAATTATTAATATTAATATAAGTTTAGACTTTATTTTTTAAAGTCAGTTAATGTACTCTCTCTTTCTCTGTGATAACTATATGTACATTCACATATGTACATAAGGTATCATTCTTTTATCGCTTTATTTTACTCATTCATCACTATATCGACCTTGTGATAACACATAATCTATTAATTAATCGTTTTTTATTTCAAACGTCACCCAAATACTGTTTTCATTTGTATTGTTAACGTGTGATTATTTTTACTAATAGAAAGGCTGAATAAACTTCGAGGTTAAGTCACATTTATTGGGAAGATTGATTTTTCCTGATGTTAAAAAAAAGAATCGTTGCAAGAACTTTAAATGAAAATATTTTTACAATTGTATATTTGCAAAAAGTAGTATGTATTTTAAATGTAAACCAACTATGTTTGTTTATTTTTACAGATACCACGTCCGGAAGTTTGAATCTCCTCACACCGTCGTCTACTACTAGTCGGATAAGGGATTTCACGTCTCGAATACAAGAACGTGTGTCTTCGAATCTCCAACCCAATTTAACACCTCTAGCGCCAATATCGCCAGCCAGGACTCCTGACGATGCCACACCAACCCCTCGAAAGACAGAAAATCTCTTAAAACCCCCTCCAAAGATACACATCGACTCGGCAAGTCATAGGTCGAGAAGTCACCACAAAAAACGTGACGAAAGTCCTCACAAGAAACCTAGCTATTTAAACCTAGCCTGTTCAGTCAATGGTTACACGAACCTCACGACTTACGATTCAAAATTACGGCAAGACATCAACAAGAGTCGGGAGGCATCACCTATCAGACCTATAACACACACTTACCAGTATCGAAGTGAAAATAACTCGCTCCTCGTCCCAGTGCCTGTCAGTGCTAACAAGCTGTTGGTACCAACTTTTGGACCTCATGATACTCGCACCAATTTGACACCAAAAGCGCCTTCCAAGGCGCACACGGATCCTCAAATCGCTTCTCCAATACATGCCTATATGGCTGCCGAAAATAAACAGTTAAAAAACGATTTTTTAGGCCCTAGTATGACGACGACGAGTCGTCCCTACATATCAAACGAGAGCAAAAACTTCGCAGCATCCATGTTGCATCACAAAGATGAGGTAGACAACGCAAAGGAATTGACTTTTAAGTCTAGTTTCTCGGAGACCAACTTCCGACAAACTGTTGCGACGAATGGCAAAGAGACTAGATTTACCTCGGAATCTTATACGATATCCTCAAATGGTGTATCGAAACGAGTGGAAATCACAAAGGAAAATGGAGAGAAACTCACCAGTCCTATGAAAAGTTTTATACAGCAGCGAGTTGAGCGCTTATATGGGCCAGGGGCGCTTGCGCAGGGATTCTTTAACCAGAAACGTCATAAAACGAATAGTGTCGGTGATGATGAAGATCCAAAAGTACTGACAGAGAAATCTCTTAACTGTCCCAGCGAAAGATTTGCGTCTCCCCGAAAATCTAATGAGAGTTTTGATAGCGAAAACATATACACTAGCCCTAGTTCCGAGGATCCCACGGTGTTACCAGTTCTTAGGCATCTCAGGCCTGAATTTCGTGCACAATTACCCATATTATCGCCAAGGAAGAGCTTAAAATCGGATCTTTCCCCTCAAAAAGTAGACGACATTCCCGAACCCAAAAAGACTGAAGAGGACACTAGTGATGTGACAAATGGTGTTTCTGTGATAAATTTAGATGATTCTGTGAATGAGTTAAACGGTGTGAACGGTAGTAGTGTTGGGAAACCAAACGGCGATTTGGTGAAAGACGCACATTATTTCCTGGGATTGGAAAAGAAAGAGACTGAGAGGTTGATTGCTTTAGCCGTTGGAGCTGAAAAAGAGCTCGAGAATTTACAGGTAATTAAAGAAACTATCCTAAATAATTTAATGTTAACAAAGAGTCTAAACATAGTTTTTTTTTTATGCTAGCTAATTCGATAGCTCGCTATATAACATTTTATATTGTTTTGTATCTATGGATACAAAACATATAAATATATATATATATATATATATATATGTCGGAGACGGTCATCAATACGGTCGCTAAACGAAGCGCGGCCCGACGCCTGAGTGATGGCAGCACCTTCGGTGTTATCGCCAACACTCGGCGAGCTTCGTGCTACGACGGAGCCTAGCTAAGGGAGGGGTGCTAAGAGGGCTGGACACTTGCCTTCGAGCCGAGCCAAGCTTAGGACCGCTCCACTAGGAACTGTCTTGCGTTCTGTATTGTCTATACATGGTAATAGTGAAGTGGTATATGGCTGTGTAGTGAAGTGCTGTTTAACTATGTACGAAGTGATTATTGTTAATTTGAAATACAACTGTGATTGCATCGACTTTCATTTGAACCAACACTTCCCATATAACGCCCACTGTATAATTCATGATAAAATAATGGAAAATAATAGAGAAAATTAATGCTGCTTCGATATCAAAAGCGGGATCAGTGTTGGTTCAATTGCAAAAAGAACTAACTCTGAGTGAACAATGACGTGCTATGTTTTGAACAACAAAATGTCAGTATGTTGATCTCTTTATCGAGGCCATGCAAATGCCTCGCATGAAGAAGAACGTCAAGTTACGCGAGTTTGACCCTGACAATATGGATACGGACGCAAGATCTTGATTTGCGACTGTAGATTTGTGTTTTGCCGAATACCCTCCATACGGCGGCTAGCTTATTTTAACAGTCAGTAAGGAATTAAAAGGATAAGGGTCGACGTGGCTATCACAATTTGTATACCAGAGAATAACATAGGAAGAGTTCAAGGTGATTTTCAAGGCGAGATTTATTCCACCGAGACATTGGCTGGTACGCTAATTAATTTTAACAGTGACAAACCAAATGAAAAAAGAAACTCGTTACGTACGCAAATCGCCTGATGACGTCACTGACTAATCGTTGGAAAGACGCTAGCAAGAATCAGATAGCAAATGCGACTGTCCTTGCTCACTTATGTCAGTTTAATTCGAAATTACAACGATTGGCCTTTACTACGAAAATTGCTTCGCGAGATCGACTGCAGCAGGGATTGCACGCATTCTCACATTTGAAACGCAAAAAAAGTGAGTCTTAAGCGGTCAGAGTGTAGAAGCAAGGTAAATGACAGTGTGGAACGACCTTCGATGACAGCAACGGCATTGCAGCCTGCAGTGAAGTCTCTGGTGTGCTTCAAATGTGGCAAGCCTGGTCACATCACGCTCCGGTTCATAAGTAGTGCCAGTCAAGTGGACGGCAGCAATATGGGTGCAACACGAACGGAACGACGCGTGGATGTATGTGTTGTACAACCATCTTCGAATGCTCAATGGCATAGAGGTAATCTGTATTGCTTTTGTTATAATCATGGTGCTGAATATTCGTTAGTAAGATAACATTTAGCAGTCAAATTATGTGGTGAACGATTTTGTCCTTTCAATTTCTAGTATTGATCAAAACAGAATATTCCGCACAGAGTAAAATTTGTTTTGTAACGATTAACGGTCATTCTCTTTCATCATCTTTTGAAATATTATGTTTTGCCTAATTATTAATTACAAAATGGTATCATGATAGAACATGAGATATTGAAAGGTTTTCTATTAACATGACGGCTATAAATTCTTTACACAAAAATTCTAGTAGGTCATGTACCAATAGAGGTTGATGTAAATAATGATCATCATGCCAAGCAAATGTTTTAATGAAGTCGATGGAAACCGATGTAAGCATTCTGACGGCCGAAGTAGTGTCGACCGTACTAGTAACTATTACGTAGTCATAGCCTGGTAAAAGTCGGTCTTTTGAGGAAGCTCAAACTATATAGACCGTGGGTGTGTGATGTGCGTTTAGTTCTGGCGGAGGTCGGGGTCTGTTATGACCATAGTGTGTAGTCATCGAGAGGATGATACACACGGTGATCCCGTAGTGGATGCACCTGGATTGTGGAGCAATTGTGATTGCTGGTTGGCTTGTAAAGCCGTGGCCTAAGAGTGGTTTACAGAGGTGCTAGTAAATTTGAAAATTAGTTTTGATTGCTAAAGTGTTGAATGATGTTGGTACATGGCTCTGGATGACTGACGTTATTAGTTAGATTAGAGATAAATAGTGACTTGGAGTTAAAAAAAAAATTACAAAGGTGTTAGCGTTAAAGCTTTTCCTTAGAATAAAGATGATTCAAATTCAAAGTTAAGTTTTATCTAGTCAGGATTGACCGAGTCGAGCAAGTATTTTCGTTGATTATTTGGTTGCAGGCTAACACACGGCTAACACACGAGGGCGTGTGCACGCAGGATGGCCGTGTCGGAGACGGTCATCAATACGGTCGCTAAACGAAGCGCGGCCCGACGCCTGAGTGATGGCAGCACCTTCGGTGTTATCGCCAACACTCGGCGAGCTTCGTGCTACGACGGAGCCTAGCTAAGGGAGGGGTGCTAAGAGGGCTGGACACTTGCCTTCGAGCCGAGCCAAGCTTAGGACCGCTCCACTAGGAACTGTCTTGCGTTCTGTATTGTCTATACATGGTAATAGTGAAGTGGTATATGGCTGTGTAGTGAAGTGCTGTTTAACTATGTACGAAGTGATTATTGTTAATTTGAAATACAACTGTGATTGCATCGACTTTCATTTGAACCAACACTTCCCATATAACGCCCACTGTATAATTCATGATAAAATAATGGAAAATAATAGAGAAAATTAATGCTGCTTCGATATATATATAAAGATCCTATATAAAAAAGCACTTTCAGTTTTATCAATTTAATCAATTTTCCGGGCAAACTTTAAAATTATTTTCCTTAAAAACCTTATATGGATTGCCAAATTGGTCTAGCCGATCTCAAGTCATCGATCGCCCGCACTTGGCTAGCGTTTTGGAATTAGGCCTGATACCCACGTACGAAAGGAGGCCCACCCCCAGCAGTGGGACGTTAAAAGGGCTGCATTCACCTTATCCTTCAAATCATTATATAATAGGTTACGAACGCTCGAAGCGAGAGTAAATCGCTAACTATTCTACTTTAATTAAATTTTAACTGAAATATTGTAGGATCAAGATAATGTGAGTGAAGAAGTCCTGGGACTGTTGCGTGCTGCGTCCGGCAAAGCGCGACTGTTGGCCACACAGAAGATGCAACAATTTGAAGGTATTTTTATATTGTACTAGCAAAACCCGCGGCTTTGCCCGCGTTCAAAGTACAAAAAAAACAAGCTCTTTCCATTCCCTTTACAATAATGTATTGAAATTTGCTCGATTTGTTGATATTTATGATAGCATGATGATATATAGCCTATAGCCTTAATCAATAAACGGTATATCTAATGCAAAAAGAATTTCTCAAATCGGATTAGTAGTTCCTGAGATTAACGGGTTCAAACAAATAAACCTCTTAATAATATTATTATAGATGTATATTATATTATTTTATAATTATATAATATAAAATATATAGTAGGTATATTCTATATTATTGAAGATACCAGCTTAAATAAGGTACGATAATACTCGTATACATTTTTGCTAATTGAAATTTTTGTGTTTTAAAACCCAATGGATACGCTATATAAATTAAAACTCAACGATATAATATGTATATACATTTGTGGCCATATATATGTCAAGAAAAAAAAATTATATTATATGGAATAACTACTTTCAAGGGGTTTCTTATCACTTTTTGGTAAAGTAAATAGAATTTCTGTCCCACTTTAAACCCAATAATAGCAGGTTTGAAAATGATTAAAAAAAAAATTCGACTCATACATAGGATGACTTACACCTGCTTTGGTATACAGCTTAGACTAATCAAACGTGTTTTTGCGATATTCCCATATGTTTGATCGAACATTTGCATGGCATTTTGCCATATTTCGTACTAGCGTCTCACCTTCGCCTGTCTGTTTGTTCCGTCTAATCTCCGAAACGGCTGGCCTGATTTTGACGGAAGTTTCACTGACAGATAGCTGTTGTATAACGAGTAACTTGGTTAATTTTATTTTAGAAAAAGAATTAGGGTTCTGCTGAAAAAAAAATTAAATGTACTTAGAGACGCATCCGAGCGAAGTGAGGGCAAGTTGCTAGTCTTAAATATAATAGTTACAAAAAATATTTGAAAACTCAATTTAATTAACAATATATTTCTTAGAAATTTATCTATACATACATATGTATGTTGAGACATAAACACACAGCGCCATCTAGTTCCATGGTGTTATGGATACCAGATAGCTGATATAACTCGCGTCATCTAAAAAGAACGCTGGCTGTCAAGCTGCGCAGAAGCGATTTATCGGTCAAATTGGTGGTAAGAGGTGGGGCAGGTGGCGGCGGGGCACGCGTCGCATGCTTGCCGGCGCGCTATTGGTTCGTCAGTTCGAAATACCATCGCGCACACAAAAGTTTTTAATTACGAAATGGTTTTATATATAGAAAAGAGAAAAATTATTTTCGACGTATATTGTTTTACAAAGAGAGAGTCTGATAATAATGCAATTAATAATTTAAAAAAATGTATTAAACGTATTAATTTAATTTTTTGCAAGTCGATTAAACATTCTACACTGAATCAAAATGAATAGAATTCTATTTAATGATATTCTATCTAATATATTTTTCAATGTCCCTACCAATAACTAATATATGAAGCCGCGAGCGAAATGCTATGAAAAATAAAATAATAGGCTTAGTACTTTTGTGCGCGAGTATACCCATGTGCGAACATACCCTCTCCACTTTCTTCCAACGTTCTTTTTAGATGACGCGAGTTATACACTACACATATATAACTTTAGATATATACATATTATAATTGGAAGCTTCGCTATAAGTGGTAATATTATTAACCATTCAGTTTTTATTTATATATTCTAAATTTTTACACATTGTCTTGTGGTGGCAATTTTTTTCTGTGTGTAACATATCTGTGAAAACTTTATTTATTTTAATAGTTTTTAATCCAATTATTTATTGTACATACTGTATATTTCCTTTGAAGCGCAAATTTATACTAATATTATAAAGAGGCAGAATTTGTTTGTTTGTTTGAAATGCGAATGCGGGCGAAGCGTTGAAAAATATTTTCGTACATTTCTAAATGAAAATGCCCATCAAAATTCCCACATTACAGGCCTCTGTTACAACAACATAAATGAACGCGGTGACGAACCATTCCCGACTACTCTGGAGGATCTTCAAGGTTTCTGGGACATGGTCTGCCTGCAAGTGCGCAATGTGGACGCTCTGTACGAGCATATTGATATGCTCAAGAAGAATAATTGGCAAGAGGTATGTGTATTTGTAACATGAGGCTGTCTTATAAGAGTTTTCTTTGACACTATTATACATATGAAAATTTTCAAGAAAATCTGTAAAAAAAAATGAAGTGTACGGGCATAAACAATCTTTTTAACCTACCTTCTTCTGTCGTGTTAACTTGACTTAACTGAAATTTTAAAACTAATTGGCTGGTATTGATTGTTATTCTGGCATTTTTTCGTTCGTCCCACTGCTGGAGGTAAACCTTGAATACGAGGGGGATCATAGTCCACCACGCTGGCCAAGTACGGGTTGGCGGACTCCACATATCTTTCGAAAATTTGTTAGGTTCTTTCAGACATGCAGGTTTCCTCAGGATGTTTTCCTTCACCTTTAAGACAAGTGGTAATCATGTTGGAAATAATTCGCACATGAAAATATCGAAAGGTGCGAGACCCGGGATTTGAATTCGCTTCACTCAGTTTCCCAAGTGAGTGCATTACCACTGGGCTACCACTGTCGATAAGTAATATAGTATTATAATTTTGTAGATAGCATCACCGGTGACCAAGCCGCAGTCGTCGCCGGCACGTCGGGCGCCTCGAAATCCGGCGGTGAAAAATGAGAAGATGAGACTCGCCGCTGAGAAAAGGGAGGCTGATAGGAAGGCACTGTTGGAGCAACGCAGGTTTGTGGTGTACACAAATACACAAAATCTATACTAATATTATAAATACGAAAGATTTAATTTTTTATTTGTTTGTACCGAATAGGCTCCGAAACTACTGAACCGATTTAGATGAAATTTGGTAAAGAAGATAGTATGAGACTCTGAAAAAGACACAGGATATAAGATAGACTTTTATCCCGGAAATCATCCCTTAAGGGGGTGACAATCGGGATGAAAGTTTGTATGTGGAATCAACCTAGGAACGAATCCGAGCAAAATGAGGGTGAGTCACAATAAACATATATGAAAGATGCACTTAATAGAAAAACCCAATACTAGTTTTTATTAGCTTTTACTTCCATTTCGAATTTCATTAAAATCGGTCCAACTGTTATGATTTGAAGAAGTGATAAAACATACTCAAAAACAACTCCAGTACTGACAAAATTAAGAAAAATATATTAGAAAGTTAATTTCTCGGTTAAACTGAACTAATAAATGTTTATGTAGTGTTAAATTCAATGTTAATGTGTAATTTTATTTCTTTTTTTTTTAAACAGCCATCCCTCCATGGTTGTAGGTTATAGTAAGATTTAACCCTCGTTTCGTTTGTGACCCTTGCATGAAAAAATAACCAAATTTTCCAAAATAAAAAAAAAACAAATACATATATATGCAAATCTCTTTTGATTATAATCTGTTGTAATGTCAAAATAACAGCTTTTTACTGAATATTTTTAATAAAAAAAAAACAATTAAAAAAATCTGTATGTTTGTTCCGGCCGTACTCCGAAACGGCTGGATCGATTTTGACGGGAATTTCACTGGCAGATAGCTGATTGTTATAAAGAGTAATTTTGGCTACTTTTATTTAAATAAAATATACATTCTTCGTTACATTATTTGTTTGTATGATACTTATCAAACAAATTAAAAATGCCCTCTCTTCCCATGTGATTGTGGCTTAGATTCCCTTTTTATCTATGAAAAAGGATGGGGTTTCTTTATAATTGACAACATTTCTTTGTTTGTGGCCTTTGAGTTTAAGTAAGGTCTTGTAGACATTTAACACCTCCAGGTAAATTTCTAAGAAATCTATTGTTAACTGTAACGCCGGCGTGTCCGCGGTCGTGGAGGGAATAAGAAATTTGAATTAATTTTTTAATTAATATTCCATGCTATTCTTATAGCATGGTCATTGTGGACAAATGTACATAAAAATGTCATGTAATAATATCACGCCATTAAATTACTTTTTAAATTATTTTGCACATTTGTGTACATTTTTAGGTAAAAGAGTCTTCATTTGTAGACAATTTGTTTGTCCAATTCTCCCATAAAATATCCCATTGCCATGTCTGTGTGCCAACAACGTTAGAAGTAAATAATATTAATACATATACAAGTTATATAATTTCTTTTTTTTGTATTTCCAGACGTGCAGCACGTGAAAGGCTATTGGCAGCAAAATCTATGCCAGTCAAGAAAGGCGATGATATGCCTGTAGAGGGTATTCAGGTGAGAGCATTTGTAATTTTATAATAAACATTAATAAAATAATATAATACTGTTCAAATATTCCAATGTATCCATGTACTAAACTACTTCATCCAAATCAGTACAGCCGTTCAGCTTGAAGAAGTGTCAGACATACAAACTTTTGCATTTAATAATATTAGTATCATGATGGTAAATATATATTTTTTTCTGTCCAGGAGGTAGAAATCTACGTTGGGAAAAATGTGAAACAAAACCCTCAAGGCGACTCCACAGATCACAGTTGATTCATATAATATTGTATAGTCCGTTATATATCAGGGTTTTTATATGTATTTTTAACTTATGTTTAAAATTAAAAAAAAACACTATTATTATTATTTATGTATTTTGAATCTGTCATATGGTATGTTTTAGTTGTCTTAAAGAATTGAAGCTAAAAGATTTGTATTTTATTTCGTTGTATTTTTAAAAATCAATAATATAGTAAAAATAATATAATTTTCTTTGGTTTTCCAAAAAATATTTAATTTACAGATTCGACTTAGTTACAATTTTATTATATGTATAGATTTTCAATAAAATTTCTGATCAAAATTGTCGTATTGATATATGCACGGAACAATATTGTAACTATGTTTTGTTATAATTTTGTTCCTTGGATCTATCAATGTAATGAATATGTAAGTTAAAAATACATATACTGTTACATTGTTCACTTGTGCATGTTTTATAATGATTGTATTACATAAAAAGGCAAATTTTATAATTGAAAATAATAAGCTTTATATGTATAGATTAATATTATATATATTTAATAATATATATATATATATATATATATATATATAATATATATATATATATTTAATAATAATGATAAATGTCGCACATAATTGAAATATATTAAAGAACATATTTTACAAGCAATATAAACGAGGCATAATTTTTTCCAATTCGGTAATGTCAGATTTGTTCACTATATTTTAGCAACTGCATGTATTTTAGCACTAATATTATTGATTATGGAGTAAACTTGTTATTGAATTCGGTGATGCATGTTATTTTAAACTAAATAATAGCTCGTTTTAGAAAGCGATGTATGATATAAATAGTGGTTGTTTCTTATATAGGTTATTCTATTATATATTATAATGTAATTGTTAGGTTTTAGTTATATTTTTCGCATGTAGTTTGAAAAGTTTAAAAAAATTAATAAGTGCTTTTTAGTATGCTCTAGACCAATTTTGTTGTAGTTTTCACAGTTTGATAAGCAGTGTTTGTACGATTATTAGAATTTACTTGTAAGTTACTCTGTAATTGATAATATTGATATTAATTATTTATATTTTGAATCGATATGTATGTTTTTTAACCTAATAACTTCTTCCTTTTTTGAAAAATTATAAAAAAAATAAACATTTAGACTTTTTGTGCCAAAATTTCATTAAATCGTTTTTATAATTGTGAAAATTTTAATTTATCATTCGTTACAAGAGGAAAATTCATAACTATGGCTGTTTAAAAATATTTCGTTACTTCTTCGTTATTTAGAATGTGATTGAATATTGTAAGATCATAGCAAGCGAAGGAATAAAAAATTCATATAAATTATAATGTGTCTTAGAAATCTAGAAATTTATTCTGCAATATCGTTTTTATATTTACTTTTTCCATAATTAAAGTTTTTGGGTTAAGTTCAGAAGATTTGTGTACAAACAAATTAATCTCCTCATTATAATATTAGATTAAAATACACACACATATATATATATATATATATATATATATATATATATATATATATATATATATAAAACAAAGTCGGGTTTGTTACAACACTTATAATTGACAACTGCTGAACCTATTTTCATGGTTTTTGATTTGTTGGATTTGTCTCCGCCCCGAATAGCAGAATAACGAAAAAAAATCACAAAAATTCACGAAAAAAATTTAAAATTTAAATGGCTAACTCTGGCTAAAAACTATTTATATCTTATATAACGTACCTAAAGACAAACTATAGCGATGCGAAAGTGAGCCACTAGTTTTTAGAATAAAGCAATGGAGGCGATGGATTTGTAAATGTTTTAATATTATTTGTTATATGTATTGGTTCAAAATATATATAGTTAGCACTTTGCACTTTCACGAGAATATAATGTATAGAATTTAACCGATTTTATTCTAAGAGCTTGAACAATGATTGATTTGTCTTCATTTATAATTGATTTTTCAATAGATTTTATTTTATTGGTCCGACGATTATTTTTTTTCATAATATATTATTTATGTGAGTAACATTTTAGTTTTCAATAATAATAGTTTTTAAACAATTGAGTAATTGAAGACAAATTAGTTGTAATAATCTTACATATTTATAAACAATATGTCAACGGAATATGATCTCTAACCGAGCGAATGCTTTCATTGAATTAAAATTAGGGTTGCTAGTGCAAATAATTAATATAATTGCATGTGTAATTCGAAATTTTTAAAAAAATATTGCAAATTTAGACCAGTATTATGTATTTGGGGCTTTTTATTAATAATAATAAATTGTCTTACTCCAATATAAAATGGTACAATAAATTTTAGCTTGAGCATAAATATAAAATGTCGAACATATGAAATAATGGCTTGTTAAAAATTTGCTAAGTATTCTCAAATTTTTAATGTTTTTTTTTTATATTCACTTAATTTTACTGTTTCTTGTTATTATACCGATCCAGATGTGGGATGATTTGTAGATATTTGAAAATTTATTGCCAGTAGGTTAGTTTTATTACTACATATTATCAAGAAAATCATAATAAAAAATAATAATAATAATAATATCTTACTTGAAGTTTGAAATTGACTAATTTAACTAAATTACTGGCAAATATTATGTTTGAAAGATATTTGGTTGTTTAATGATGACAATTTTTACATATAAGGCTGGTCCCATTGTGTTTTAAATGACTGAAATTTTAATTTTTTTTTCTAATAATTTTATCAAGTTGTGTAACCGTTTTTTATAAAACTTAAATTGCTCAGTGTTGTGATCATTAAAGAATCAAAATAGTTATTTGTACTCAATTACGGAATAAGTCTTATTTTACACTAATACCTTGTTTATTGATAATGAATAAATTATTGTTTAAATGTAATTTTGTTTTATTTTAATTTTCATTTATATAAATACTACTTTTTCACCTAATTAATTACTTACTTAACTAATCAAGCAATAAAGTTACAGATTTCTTTTTTGTTGTAAATGTTTTTGATGAGTAAGTTATCAGAAATTTTAAATACAGCCAGCAACAGATTTTCATGACCAAATTACTCTCGGACGATAACTTGTAAATAAAAAGTGAGTTGTATCATGAAACCTCGTGAACGTCCGCTGCGATTCCGAGGGTGGGCTGGGCTCGTTAGCCTCTCATGCATGTAGAAAAAAAAATGTTTTTAAATCATTTTCTCCCGATTGAAAATTTATCAAATTATAGCTAACCCAGTATCTTAAAGAGAAAAAATGTCAACCGATTATAAAGTGGTAGATTATACATGAGCTGGTCACGTTAACATGAAATAATCAGTGATTTCTTAATTGAAAATTTATCAGATGACAGTTTATAATGCTATCTTCTTCTATAATAAAAGTGTAGAGGTCGAATGTCTGTACATAGAAAAAGAATGCTAAAACCGAGTCAGGGGGATGTAAAAAGACAACTAGAACAAATCCAGATTTGTTTCAAATTTTTTGTTTCTCTGTCTGTTTGTACGGGCTAATCTCCGAATCTATTGAGCCGATTTAAATGAAATTTTGCATGGTGGTATCTTATATCCCCGATGAACATCTTAGATCCCGAAAAATTAAAGAATTCCCGTGGGATAGTCAAAAAAGTATAGTAACTGGCATGCTAATACCTTATATTGCGGGTTAAATACAGGTTACTTTTTATCCCGGAAAAATGAACGGTTCCCGTGGGATAGATCTGTTTGTGCTTTTCTAGAGGCGAACCCGAGCGAAGTGTGGTTAAGTCGCTAGTTATGAATAAATAAAAATGTCAGCTGGCTATACCTTGGTGGAAAGGTTTTCATCTGATGCCCAGTAGAGTGTAATGCAGGTGCCAGACGGGCGCATTTATCGACTAGTTAAGGAAATGATTAAAAAAAATTTTTTGTACGTGTGTGTGAGGCTACCACAACCCAACCCACCCTCGGAATCGCAACTGACGTTCACGAGGGTTCATGATAAAACTCTCTGAAGCATTTTACGAGTTATCACCCGAGAGAACTTGATTGACGAAATTTATACTTGGCTTGGGCTATAAGGTATATTTGATTTTTTTTTATTTTGCCTACAGTAAGCACCATAGCCTTATAAACATATATTATACTCTTAAAATACATTTTTTTTAAATCAAATTCACTACACGCAAGCAAGCCCTCCGCACAGCGGACCTTCTCTACATATGAAAGCATAAAAAAGTGTGTATGTACTTATATACGCACGTAAGAAGTTATAATTTTTTGTTCCTTTTTAGAGCATTTAAATATAAGCTTGTTTTTTAAATGTTTAATTTTTTTTAACGATTTTACTTTTTTTTGTATTCTTATCTGCTAACCATTTCATTTGATATCCATATCATGGGGTGCATAAAAATAACAATCTGCCACATTTAATTTACAATGACGTCACCATGCTTAACACCTCCTGGTAAATTTCTAAGAAATTAATTAAATTTCTAAGAAATCTATTGTTAACTGTAACGCCGGCGTGTCCGCGGCCGTGGAGAAATTATTGTGCCTCTGTGCTCAACAGCCCTTTCATTTGATTCCAATATCTTAAGGGTTACTATGGAAATGATTAATCGCCATTTTGTAACATCCGCCTTATTAGATTAAAAATGGTGGCTTTTAGGTAATCGTGCAGTCACGAGAATCAAACCTGTGTGCCAAATTTCAGCTCAATCGAACACGGGGAAATGGGTTAAGTTTAACTTGCAAGATTGGATTACAGACAGACACTGATGAGACTAAAAAAAAGCTTGTAATCATTTTTATAATTATCGATATAAAACACGTGTTGTGTATATTTTAGAAATACCGGAATAAATATCTTGAATATAGACATCACAACTAAAGTGAGATTTAACGACTAACTTCACACTGTAGCCAATAAGGACTAACTTCATACTGTAGTCTAAATCTGTCGCATCATAAAAAAATCAACCATATCACTCATTTTTCATAAAGCGCCAAAAGAAGTATAATTTAAAAACATTAAAAAAAAACCGACTTACAGGCACTAAAAAGTAATAAATAACTAAACGGGGGTTTTCATTTAGAATAAATACCTAATAATCAGATATTTTCGAAGTCGGTGCCAGCCGATACAAATTAAAGCACACCGACTTCGAAAATATCTAAACAGGTATGTACTCTAAGTGAAAACCCCCGTTTAGTTATTTATTACTTTTTAGTGCCTGTAAGTCGGTTTTTATTTATTTTTTTAAGTTTTTATTTTTCCAATTTTAGTCTAGACGTAATAAGCAGGTAATTTGTAAGGAGAAAGTTTTTATTATTAACATATTCAATTAAGAAATTTATTTAAAAATAATTTATTGTAGATTTTTTTTAAACCACTCGACCGATTTCGATAAAATTTAAATGGGACCACCTAGGGAGTATACTCTTTGAAGCAAAAAAGAATTTTCCAAATCGGTGCAGGCGTCTTTGAGAACTTCCTCCTTTTTGATCTGCGATTGAAAATACTGTTGAATTTAGTAGATCTTTCACTTTTGAAGTGAGTTGTTCGGTTTCAATCTTTAAATATAAATTAATATCGAGGTTTAAAAGACCTAATTTAGGATACTAATAATTGACACTAATTACATAATTTAGATTTGAATAGCATTACAATCGTTAATTTAAATACTTTGTACAGAACTTTGTATATAGTAAATGCAATGTAGTTCATTTCATATTTAAAAAAAAATCATAATGCTGCAAATCCATTAATCCAAATCTGCAAAAAAATAAAAACATATTTTAGTCTATGTCTTTGAAGACTAATAATTTTAAAAATTAATATGCTGAAACATAACTACATTTTTAAATATAAGAATAATTGAGTTCATTAAAAAATAAATGTAATATTAATACTTAGATGTGAGCGAAATTTTCAAATATAATTTACTTTTTGTACCGTAATATGAATGCGTGAAAAGAAACTATTTAAAAAAAAGCAGCAATTATTTGTCTGTGGTTTGACAGTTACCAGCATTCGACGACAATTTAATATTTATATTTTTGCTTATTTTAAAATAATTACTAAATTATTGTTCTATTTATCTAAACAATTCTTTTATATTTAATTATGTTTATTAAAATCAAATTTGAGTGGATTATAATACAATAAATATAAAGAAGAAACGAAAATGACGGATCTGTTCCCGCGTGTTTCCTTCCCGCGCACGTCGCACTAGGTGGAAGTTGGTCATGGTCGTCCGCCAAACGGAAAGCCGCCATGATGGCTTTCTGTAAAGTACGCTCAATATGTAAAGTTTCGTTATTGTTTTTCATTAATTGTGACTGAGTGCAAGTAAAAATTAACCATGGGAACGAACTAGAGTGTGCAAAGTGCAGTTTACGGTCCCTTAGGACCTTCCGGAGGAGCTATAGTGTGTTTAATAAGTGCATTTTAGTGTCGACGCTAGCGTGTTTTGTTCTGTCAACAAAATGTCGAAGCTCTCGTTTAGGGCGAGGGCCCTGGATGCGACGAAACCGATGCCCATATATCTCGCCGAGGAGCTTCCAGATTTACCGGACTACTCGGCGATTAATCGTGCTGTACCTCAGATGCCCTCTGGCATGGAAAAAGAGGAGGAAAGTGTAAGTATTTTGCGCATTTAAGTATTAAGTCATCACAACTACTGTGTGTCGGCCATCATGTTTCAGTTTCGTATTCCTACCGCTAGGGGCGGTATATTTATTCGGATTAGGTTTTTTGGCGAATTTATTGCTATGGGTTTATTGCAAATTAATGTATTTTATTTCAGCGGCGTTAATACATGCGTAGAATAATAATAAGCGTCATTTTAGGTCTAATCACAACGACAACTTGTTATTAAAATTTGGCGCGATAATAGCACATGGTGTTATTGTCAGACCCTGACGATCTTCTGCTTCGCTCAAATGCTGTTTCCTCGTTTAATGTTGGAGACACAGCGTTACTTTAAAGAATTTTGCCTGTAGAATAAGCATAAAAATTATGAAAATTATAAAATTGAGTGCCGGCAATCGATCATATGTTATTTGTTTACTAACAAACTCGTACGCCGGTATGCGCTGATTGTAGTATTATTATTACTGCACTCTTTAATTAAATAAATGATAACATTTATTTACAAAGTATAAGTCTAAATTAAAACCACATTTATTATTCTTTCTAAACCTAGCAACTTAAAAATTGTTGTATATTAAATTTAAGGGTTTTTAAAATTCAATTCAATTCTCTTGTTAATGGCCTCAAAGTGTCCCACTTGAGCATAGAATGTCATATAGAATGGAGAAGACATTAAGGAGATTATTATTATTATTTCTGTTTTTTATATTCTTGCGAATTGTACATTATTTGAACTAATTTTATCTGCTTTTGTTATTTTGACTTATTTTGATTTTTATTTATAAATTTTATAAGCTTTGTGTTCTTAAATTGTGAGTAAATAGTGTCATTGCTTACCACATATTCCTTCACAGAAAGTTTTTTTACTCGACTTCTTAGTTTTATATTGTTTTATTTCAAATCAGCATAAGATATTCAAAGATGAAATTAAAACATCTATTTTTTTAATCTTAACAGCTGTGCAAAATTAATATGTATGTGTAACTATTTTATTATCTTTCAAATATTATTTGACATAGTTATGAAAAATAGATCCAACCACAAACACTTACTTTTGAGAAAATAGGAGTTTTAGTAAGATTGGTATATCAAAATAACAAATAATCGCTTTTTCTTGAAATTTCTCTTAAATATCGGGTATTTTATCTACTTTGCGTAATTAAGTTGATGCCATTTATGATGGTAACTTAAAAAATGGTTTTCGTGGGCTGGATCCATTTTGCATTTGTGCTACATTCCCTTTCATGTATATTGTAATATCTTAGCAACTGGTAAATTAATTAAATATGATTTATTAATAATTTTATGAAAATAAATGTAAATTTTTTGTTATTGTCTGTATTGTGTATTTATTGTAAAGCGAACGTTTTTTTTTGTTTGTTGCACACCAAACTTATTTTACATCGGTTTTTACATCGAGTTAATTTATGAGCTTGAGAGTACTATAAAGTATATTTTGTTATGATAAATGAAGTGATTCATGTGGGTATTACCAATTACATATAATATATTTTAGAATTATTATGCGAATATTTGACATTTTAAAAAAACTATATATTCGGAATTTTTACACGGATTTATTTTGGTTTTTGAAATGCATATGATATTGTACAGTGTCATTAAATTTTCTAATTTTGATCATTTTCTGGCATTTACAATAAATTTTAATTTACTTTTTCTATATACTCTTTGTATCACTTTGCATGTCTTTGAAACAAAACAGCTGGGTCTATTTAGCGAATTTAAAAACAAATATGTAGTTTAAGTCTTTACTATATAGCATAAAAACAACAGTTATTGAATGGATAAATGAAATATTTAGAAGAAGTATAATTGCTTTCATTTCTTGAATTTGCAAATGAACTCGAAGATCAAAATGAAGATTAGCATAGAACAATGTGTTGGGTTAGATTGATTATTATTATTTAAAATATTTAATTAAAAATTAAATTTATCAATTTTCGATACTTATCGAGCAAATCTATAATGTATATATACGAAGCTGACATGTACGCGTAGTAATAGTGGCGTGTGTGCACACGTGTTTTATACGATGATAATGTATTATTTCGCATTATATTTTTATAATTGCATCATGCTTTTTTTCGAATCAAAAAGATTTTATACAATACTTATTTACAAATAATGTGAAAAAAGGTTTTTTGTATGTTTGTCCTATTATAGTTAAAGTGCCTAAAAGAAAGTTGATAGATTTTATCCCACTACATAGACTATCTAGGGCACCTCGGTAAACTTTTTTTTGCGTTTGACTTACTTATTTATATGTAATATACGACACGTTTGGCTCAGTTTGTAGTGACCTTACTTGCTGTGCCAGTGATCGCGGGTTCGACTCCCGCTGGATACATACATTTTTGTGATGAGCACGAATGTTTGTACTCCAGTCATGGGTGTTTGCATTTGGTCTTTACCTATGAAATTGCCGTTTTATATACAAAAAGTTAATTTTTTTTTTTTTATTTCTTTCAATCAAAATATGCACCCATGCTATTGATGCATCTCTGCCAGCGCAGTGGTAATTTTTCAAGGCCCTTCTTGAAGAAGCTAGGTGTACGGGAGCCAACAAATTCAATCAAAGGCATTTAGTACTGCCTCTCGGGTATTGAATTTTTTCCTTCCCAAGAAGTTGTGCCGTATGTGGTCGAGCGTCGTCGTGTAGAAGCATCGGAGACGAGCGATTAACCAAGGCTGGCCGGAGATTTGTAAGCTTCTCTATCATTTGTCCAGTTCCCCACAGTACACATCCGCATCAATGCTGGTGCCATTTGGTAAGAAGCTGTGATGAATTATACCGGCACTAGACCACGAAACAGTGACCATGACTTATAGTGGTAAGTTTTCGTTTGGGGCATTGCCTAGGTGCTGAACCAAGGTCTAAGCAATATGATGACGTACAATTATCAGAAAAGAACCATTTTTCATCGCAAGTGACAATGCGGTTCAAAATATCCCTTCGTTTCTGTGTCTGTTCAGTAACGCAAAGCATTCCACGACGCGTTCGTCGTGCTGGCGATCGTTCAGTTCGTTCGGCACCCACTTATCAAGTTATTTTACCTTGCCAATTGGTCGCAAAAGTACCAATATAGTTTTAACGTCGAAAGCTGCTGCTATCCCCGCCGTAGATTAAGTATCGTCAGCTTCCACTATCGTCTTCAATTCGTCGTTGTTGATTTTAATTTTCGGGCGACCATTTTATAGATATAAATTTTCATCTCGGAAGCGTTCAAACCAGTCATGCGTTCGTTTGTAGTGTTCACTCCGTACACGTCATTAATGTTGCCAGCCGTTTGTGCGGTATTGCTACCACAACGGAACTCGTATTCCATAATTAATTATATTTTTATTGTGTCCATAGTGATAAAAAGGATACAAATGTAGTGAAAACAAAACAAATAATAATAAACAAATAATTTTTAAAATAAAATTCATTTGAATTTAAAATTTATTGCCAGCCGTTCATAAATTACGTTTCAAATGGCCTGTATTGTAAAACGGTTACTTCATAGGTAAAGACTTATTATTTATAATATGTATGTATTTAAAGTTATATATGTGTATCCATAACACAAGCCTCGTAGCTTACAATGGAACTAGATGGTGCTGTGTGTTAATGTCCCAACATATTTATTTGTGTAGAAGGTTATGAGTTTATCGAACAATACGCCATGACCCCTAAAAGTGGAGAAATTATACATATTATATAAGCTTGTTCTAACCTACTTTATATAGTTCATTTGATGAACAATTATAAAAACTCTTAACTTTGTAAAAATGTGCGAAACAAATGCTTTTTGTTGTTGTTTAATTGTGCCTAAGGACGTAAGCCTATCTGCCTTCAAATTATAATGGCTGTACGAGCACCTGCACCTAACAAAGGAGTATACTGTTACCAATTTACTCGCAAACTGATGCAGATATATACTCTCTATAGAAGAGCCGTTGCAACGTTTAGTTACTATATAATGTGTTTTATATCTATAACGCGTCAACTGTCTAGGTATTAGTTAAAGTGATAAGTAAAACGGTCGCTAGTTTGATTCCTTATCGAGCTAAATGGTTTATGTTAGCTAAACGACCTTTAGAGGAAAAATTGTTTTATGATTATTGCATTAATGCTTATTTATGGTAAGTAGTAAATAATATTTACCAAAACATTTTTATCTTAGGCGTTTTAAATAGATATAAATAGTTATTAGCCAGCGTTAGCCATATAATTTTATTTTTATATAGTACAATTAGAATACGGTTTGGGAACAAAATATTGAAAACCTGAAGTTTTATGATTTTAAATTTCAGCAGGTATATAAGGAATAGAAATTCGTAAAATGCCCGCTTTGCCCAGCAAGTTCCACCCCCGAGAAATGGAGGGACGCAAAGCGTTGAATAATAGTTTTTTTTTCAATTTCACGTTTACTGTGACGTTCTATCGAAAAATGTTTTCTACAAAAGTTGTAGGTCTAGTAAAAATCTAAAACTTTTATAAATAACAGTTTTTACAATAACCTTCAAAGTTTTCAAGATATATGCAGAAAACTCATTTTTTAACTTTTTTGTGGATTTTTATTTTTAATTTATGGAATAATCTTTTGATTTTCATGAAATTAAGGGCATGTCATCGTTAAACGTTTTTATTTTTTTGAGCCCTAATTATTTTTCTAAAATAAAAGTAGCCTAAGTTATTCTGTATAACATCAGCTATCTGCCAGTGAAAGTCCCGTCAAAATTGGTCCAGCGGTTTCGGAGATTAACTGGAACAAACAGACAAAAAATTTAAAAATTTGTGTTTTTCTTATAAGTACTTACCGTATATAATTTCATATGTGTTTAGTAAAAAGCTGTTATTTTGACATTACAAACAAACATTTCAATTTTATTTATCTCTATACATCTCCTTTTTCTGATATATTTATTTTAGCCATTATTTACTGTTTATTTTATCTGTAACGAAGTGCTTTTTAAAATAAGG